ACTCCCAGGTTATACCAATGTATTATTTGTTATTAATGTTTGAGTGTAAATAACTGTTGGTTAACCTAATAATTACATAAATAAATTACCAAATTTTATGGCATGATATTTTTTATTTATTTATTTATTTATTTATTTAAAGCTTCATGCACAAAATGTACACAAGGTGGACTTAATGCCGCAGGCATTCTCTCCCAGTCTGACCTTTGGGTGATGCAGAGAAGAGTTAATGGTGTGAGCAAGAAGCAAGCAACGATTTAATAGAGCAAATAAAATAGATACACTTGCATACGTAGTAGTAATATTTCAACAGATTAAGGCTATAGACTCGCCTATATTGGAATTCATAACATACAAATTATATATGTAGTTAAATATTATACTTAGAAATTATATTACATAAATAAAAACTCCGCATATTATAAAAGTTCACCGAGCTAGCAAACATAATATTGTACACAAAATAGAAAAAGAGCATTGCCGTATTGAAATACGTGGACCGCATGCGTTTCCAGGATCTTATTATATTCAGAGGCAGATGAAACTAACGGGATGTTTTAATCAGTCCAAGGTTCCATAGTCAAGCTTCAGAAAGAAAATATATACCAATATTTCAATAACTTTATGCTAGGGAACTCTAATATTCTGAGGACTTAGTACAAATTTAGGAAAAGTTACCGCGTTCGACGCTCTCATTGGCCTGCTCCAATGAACCAACCAATCAGAGAGCTGCGCGCGGTTTCGTTTCGATATTCGTATTATGCCCTCTGTTCTAAAAATATTCAATATCCATTGTGTCGCCACCCGTCGTTGTCTGCGTGTATGACATTTAATTTACTCTGTTATTAAACCGTGTATACCTTGTTGGCAATGTGACCGTTATTATAACATATCATAGTATAAATGCAGAAAAGTGCGTTTATTTGTTTATCTTTCGTTCATGTCGCAATAGAGAACATTAACTTCCATCACCAGTTTACGTGACTGGAGTGTGGTCACCATAATAGTGATAGGTATAGAAAGTACCTTTTTAGGTTTTTTTTATGGGATAAGTCGGTAATCAAGCAGTCGGATCACCTGATCGTAAGCAATTGGCACCACCTACACCTGAAACACCAGAGGTGTTCCAAGAGTGTTACCGGGCTTCTTGGAATTAGGAATTCGAAGATCTTAAAAAACACAGTTTTCTACTTAAAAGTTCTGTAAAATACCATACTAAAATACGGTTAAATATCATTAATAGTCCATAATTCAACCCAAAAGGAAAAAAACATCTTTTATGGTCCAAAAAAGCAACTAAAGTGTCATTTAAAAACAAGTTATGTCGATACATTGCTAAACCAGAGCAGAGCAATTTAAAATCTTCTTAATACACGTCAAACTTACATGAATATTAAGAAAAGTACTAATTAACATAGTTAATATTTCTTTACGCTCTACATATTGTCCAATGTGCAATATTGTTACATGGGTCGACAATACGAACATACTTTTATTACATCTATGGTCCTGTGTACACTGGCAACTTTTTAGTTGCTCGCTAAATCTACTAAAATAGATAAACATATACACCTTTGCCCCATACATAAACCGAAACTTAAAGCGCGATTTTTAGATATAACTTTGGCTTCTTTCAATTTCTAATCAAATTACAGCTATTTCCTTGACGACCAGCATAATTAGTTGATGAACACATTTAGTTTTTCAAAATCCCTGCGCAGCGTTACGTAAATCGATCAAAATGACAATCGCCAGAAATAAACGATTATCTTGTGTTGCATACTAATAATACAATAATACAAAAAAAAATTTTTAAATGTTTGTTATTTTTTATTAAAGTATTGTCATCATCAGCCTATAAGTGGGCACTGCAGATCAAAGGCCTCTTCTCACATGGAGAAGGTTTGAGCATTAATCACCACGCTTTCATTGCGGGTTGGCGATTTCAAACTTATAATAGAAATTGTAACTCCAGGTTACCTCACCATGTTTTCCTTCACCGTTTGTCAGTGGTGTCTAAATAATCTTAGAACGTACACATAACTCGGAAAAGTCACATTGGTACTTACCGTTGGTAGGTTTCGAAACCGCACCCTATTACGGGAAGAACGAGCCTTTTGTGCTAAAACCTTCAAATGCTACAGTTATAGAAACTATCGCGCTGCAAATCAAGCAACTAAGTAGCCGGTCTGCACAAAACCTAACAGTGCAGTGTGCAATTATTATGTTTGTTCACGAGTATGAGACGTCGGTATTGGTACAGTGTTAGTTTTTGCCGGCATTCACATGACAATCAATATCAAATGCTTTTTGTCATATGTTACATTGTCTAGTTAAGTAATGGGCTGCTGGGGACTTAGTCTTAGTAATATGACCTGATAAATGAAATGAGCGACTCTATTGCCAATAAAATTAACGACGAACTGTTTTACTTTTACAAGTTATGACGATTTTCCAAAGAACGCATCTACATTTAGAGGCATTTCCACACATAGCTTCTGAGACAAAATCCTTTTACATCTTGATACTAAAAAATCATACAAATGCTTGTCTTTTTTAAGGGGGGAAAATCGTCGAATGGCTTCTCCTGCCTGGGTGAGGCAGGAGGGAGTGTCAGACTCTTACTGACTAAAAACCACCCCGTTCCTACTCCTACATCGAGATGGAGCCCCGGTAACCCGTTAGGTTCTCCACGGACAAATACTTGTCTAGAATGTATCCGATGTTTGGCTATAAGCACTTGTTAGACTGATGAGATTATCTGCGTTGTGTTTCGTCGTGTGAGTGAGGTTACCGGAGGCCCAATTACATACTCCATTTACCAATCTTCCCAATCCCCAACAATCCTCGAATTTCTAAAACCCAAAAGGCCAGTAACGCAGTTGTAACGCCTCTGGTGTTTCAGATGTCCATGGGCGACGCCTATTGGTTACTATTAGGTAATCCGTCTGTTCGTTTACCGGCTCATCTCGGCAAAAAAATTTCGCTAGCTATTTCCTGTGATGCGTTATTAGGTATGTACCTAAAATTATGAACCGGGCTTTTTTATGGTTTAAACTGTCAAACACCAAGCGGTCACCGGTGACCGCAACCTATTGTTCTATAATTGTGTCTACAAAACCGGTACTCGACGAGTTAAGCCGGTAAACGAGCAGACGGATCACCTGATGGTAAACAATCGGCGTCGCTCATGGACACCTGGAACACCAGAGGCGTTACAAGTGCGTTACCGGCCTTTTGGGGATTAGGAGTTTGAGGATCGTTGGGGATTCAGGAATTGGGGAGATTGGAGAAGGGGACGGTAACTAGGCCTCCGGTAACCTCACTCACATGACGAAACACAACTCAAGCATTGCTTCACGTCGGTTTTCTGTGAGGCCGTGGTATCACTCCGGTCGAGCTTATATATTTTATGTTACAAAATCAATTAAGTGTCATAACCTATTACAATGTATGTAGGTAATTAGTATTGAATAAGAATTCGACATAATCGTTCCATTTATAAAGGTAGTCGTAAATATCGGCGTGCGATAGTCACAAAAACTAGATGGGGTATAATGCGTATATACCACCATTGTATGAACGGATCATAAATATTGTGAACAATGTTTAAGTGCGTTGTGAACAAATATACCAGTACTCAATGTAAAGATCTATGCAGGATTTAGGTATAGGTACAGTACTTGTTAATATAAATAGTAATTTAGAATTATTAAATACTAGCTACTTCCGTGCGGTTTCACTCGCTCTGCTCAGCGCATATTAATCGTAGCGTGATATTTTATAGCCTATAGCCTTCCTCGGTAAATGGGCTATCCAACACAGAAAGAATTTTTCAAATCGCACCAGTAGTTTCGGAGATTAGCGCGTTCAAACAAACAAACAAAAAAACAAACTCTTCAGCTTTATAATTTTAAAACAAAAATCACTCTTTATTTAGACTATTTGAGACTATAAGTAGGTCAGTAGGGATACTGGTATTTTATAAGCTAATCTGATTTTAACGGCACTAGGCGATGTTGAAATATAAATAAAGAAACCTTTATTTTTTGTGTGCACAACTCCTCCTCAAAACAGCATTTGTTGTATAATGATACGGGAGGTGCTGTTTTGAACTCTGAACCATAAATTCACAGCTGAGAAATTCGAAAAATTTGGAAACTTACGATTTGAACATGACAGGTTCTGGGAATCGGTCAAAAAAAATCTCAAAAGAACATAGAGGGTGCACTTAAATATGAAAAACTTAGGTAGGTAATACGACATCATACAAAAATCTGTTGAGTGCAATACTGATATACAGTCGCGGAGAACCTAACGGGTAACCGGGGCTCCGGCTCGACGTGCAGGAGAACGGGGTGGTTTTTAGTCAGTAAGAGTCTGACACTCCCTCCCGCCTTACCCAGGCGGGAGCAGTCATTCGATGATTTTCCCCCCTTAAAAAAAATACTGATATACAATTATTAATGTTTAGCCAGATACAATTTCAATGACTTATATACATGTTTTTTTGAACTGTCAAAAACGACAGTTTCCTATGAATTTTGTACGATATTGTGTATTGTGACGTAACGTTTTTTTTGCGTCAAACAGCGTACTTATTTATTAAAAATTTTCTGGAAAAATACTAAAATCAAATTGGTTATAAAATCAATTAATTTAAGTGTGATTATATTTTAATACTTTATTATGTTGAACAGTCGAAATAATTTATTGTTGATTAAGGAAAGTATCCAATTGATGATTACGATAACTAATTAGAATAATAACGAACCTGAATAACTACAAACAAATACTAGCACACCATATATGTATAATACTATCAGTTCACAACACTCTTACCGGGTGTCATTTATTTCCGCAATGTTTTTGGGGTAGGGTTAAAGGTAGCTGTGCATAGCTGTTGGTGGTTCATTCGCTGAGTGTGGTCCATAGTACAGTGGTGTACACGTGTGTGGAGACATTTGTTTTGTTCTACCAGTGTATTATAAACTTTATGCCTATCTGTTAAGGTTCAGTGTTAGTGTGTGTTGAACTTAATATGTGGAGCTTGGTGATGTTTTGTGAGTATTATTTTGTTGTTTTTTTTTGTTGACAGATAAACGAATGCTAAGCTTTTTTTTATTTTATGGTGAATTGCCTATACTTACTTTTTTGTCATCATACAAACACTAGCAAAAAGCTACCGTTTAATACAATAAATGAATGCACAGTTGGTGCAGTGGCTGGACAACCGGCTACCGCGCAACGTATCGCGGGTTCAATTCCCGCATGGAGCAAATCTTTGTGTGAACCACAAAAGTGTCATGTGTATGTGAACTCGATGTTTGTAAATGCATCCATAGCACAGGAGAAAATCCTAGTATTGGGGCAACTTTTAATTTCAAGAATAAATAAATAAAAGGTATATGTTATAGCCTTTTTTGATAATCATAGAAGTAACTGTAACTATCTAATTACCTCCTAGTCCTAAGACAAGGAAGTGTGTGCATGCCTTCGTCGCTTGATTAGAGTTTATTTTAATTTTGTCGTTGCATTTAAATCTTTCTAGTATCTATCTAAAGAAAAGTCAGAATTAAACCACAATTTGTTTATTTACCTTTAGTAAAGGATAAAGCCAGTAATATACTGAGCCAAAATACATAAACATTAAATAAATAAATATACACAATCATAAAAAAAATATAAAACAATATAAAATTATCAAAATGTAAAAATACAACAATATAAAACTGAAACCAACATTGATTTGAATATTGAAATCCTTTATAGATTTTCCACGAGGTACCGTCAGCCAAGTAAATTGGTATAAACGAAAGAAAATAAAGATTTATTTAGTACAGAGAAAGCAACTATTGGTTGGCTACTGAACCAGCCAATAATTAGATAAGATGTAGCTTCGTTAGAACCCTTACAACTTCGTACAACAATAGCTACTGTCTCTATATTAAATTGATCTTCATTTTCGTCCAAAAATCTAGGCCGACTACACAAAACAACCAGAACCTACCTGTATTTCATTATTATGTTCTCATCGCTTAGCTATATTCCTCGTTTCTTCCAAAGTTGAGGGCAATTCTGTATTCTTTGTCTCAGGTAAAAACAAACACAAGAATCCTCCAACAATAGCCATAGTTCCAAATGTAGCTCCCGAAATCGTTTGAGGTAATGAATTGATGGGCGGCGCAGCTATCTGGCCAACCCTTGACATCACTGATAGAAAACCTAACACGGAGTTTCTAATAGTGGTCGGGAACAATTCGACTCCGTATAAAAACACAATTATGAAGGACATAAAGAAAACACTACATCCAATACATGCCACCAGTACTCTCGCTAAATGTGCGTTTTCCGGAATAAGAATGACCGCTATCATAAGTGTCCCTGATAAGAAAGAAGTCGTCATTAGGAAAGATCTTCGTCCAAATTTCTGTAGCGAATATGCAGCAATGCATGTGCCTGGTATAAGAAGTCCTCCTGACATAGCCACATTTGAATGAATGTCCCCACTCATCTGGCCTATGTACTGCGATACTCCATAGTATCCCATTCCACATGTAAAGTATATGAAGGCCATACAGCACAGGTTAATGGTCAGTCGTCGGTAGCGGAAAATATGCCAGAAACTTACTTTTTGTAATTTCAGTGCAGTTTGTTGAGCTGCGTATGTTTGCAAGTCACTTTTGATATTCCCCGCGGGAGTGTTATTGCTGGAAGATAACAATCGCATTATTTATTATTGTTATGCATGAATGTAATTTTAAAACGAAATATATTATTTACGAACCCAATGAAACCCAATAGAAATTTAAATACCTAATGCAACTAAAACAGTATATATTTTTACAATCGATTAAGCTTCTGGTTGTATTGTCTATTTTCTTATTTTAATTTGTTTATAATGTACTTAACCGCCCCCCCCGTTGTTTAAAAACTTATGTGGTGAAATCCAAATGTTGTCTGGAACAAATCACCTTTGTGTGATATGACCGCCCATTGTGCATATCTTCTACTATATAAAAATAAGTCGGGTTTTCCTTCCTGACGCTATACCTCCAGAACGCACGAACCGATTTCCACGGTTTTGCATTCGTTGGAAAGGGCTCCGTGAGGTTTATCGCAAAGAAAATTCAGGGAAAGAAATTTCTTCATCTTTTAATCACCAAAACGAAATGTTACATAAACCGAAGCGAAACGGAGTTGGCCGGGTTTGCTAGTTGACTATATACATACCTCTATATACAATAAAATATCTATAAATAAAATTATTTTTCCTCGGGCTTTTATAGACCGCTTACCACCATTTTAAGTAAAGCAATAAATGAAACATTTTCGACAATTTGCTTACAGCAGAAACTCTCAAGCCCCTCAAGTACTGCACAATTGTTATAAATGCTTAATTTTTGAGCTTATTATGAAATAATATATAATACTCACTATTTCGCAATCTTTTCCATGATTACCGTTGCTTCATTCAGCCTATTATTATCAAGTAACCACTTTGGGGATTCATCGGCTAAACAATATAAGAATAACGTAGCGAACACTGGCACTGATATGACCAATTGGAAGTCATCGCTATTTCTTACAAGGTACGATACGCCTGCCAGGCTCATGTGGCTGACGTTAAGAGGGATGTGGAATAGAGCAGTCACCGCTTCTCTGTAACTGACCCCACAGTATTCCACCAAGAGGACATAGCTAGTGACAATGGCTCCTCCAACGCCTACACCTTCAATGCATCGTAAGATGATAAAGGGAATAGCCGAGGGCATGAAGGCAACCAGACATCCAGCGACACCGACAGTAAGACAACTCAGTAAGAACGAAGAGAGGCGCCCGTAACTGCAATATAAATAAAATAAATTATTTATCAGTATTGCTCTCCAGGACCACTATACTTTTTTTAATGTTCTTGGAGTGTTCAGTGTACAATACTGATAGTGCAAACTTTCAACACTTGAGGTTAAAGACACCCGCTTCTTATGTATCAAGTGTGGAAGAGCCATGCTTCGGCATGAATGGTCCAGCTCGACTGGATTGTACCACGGCCTCAAAGAAAACTGACGTGAATCAACGCTTTCGTTGTATTTCATTGAGTGTGATTAAGGAGCCCCTTCCCTTCCCCAATCCCCCCAATCCTTGAATCCCCAACCATCCTCAAATTCCTAATCCCCAAGAGGCCAGTAACGCACTTGTAACGCCTCTGGTGTTCCAGGAGTCCATGAGCGACGCTGATTACTGATGGTATCAGGCGATACATCTGCTCGTTTGCCGGCTTATCCCATGGCCCACTGCTGAGCAAAGGCCTCTTCTTTAGGCTGTTAATATATTGATGTAAAGTAATTAACAAAGACAAATGGTGTAAATTTATGGGAAGAGAAAATATTTACTTGTCCGACATGAATCCGAAGGAGAATGCTCCTATCAGGGTCCCGACATACAGCATACTTTGTGTGAAGCTGACCATCCATTTTTTATCACAGTAGATATTATATTTAGTTTGCACGGTTTGAGTGAAAACAGAATGATTCCATATTGGTTTCGCACAGGGGCATGGGTTGGTTCCATTTATACCCTCGCAGGTGTAGGTCATAGGTGGAGTTGTGAATAGTAAACTGAGTACATGCCAGAAGACTGGCACCTTCGTCAGAAAAAGAAGAGTAAAAAAGTATAAATGATACTTAGTTATTTTATGAAAATGTTTTTCTACAGGATGTTTTGATTCTATTGCCATCTTTTGTCTGATATGCTTTCGGTTTCGATTCAATCCTGTTGGTCCAGTTCGTTATTTCATTTGTGTCAAAATATATTGTGACATTATCAGTCATCATTCTTCTATAAACAAACTTAAGAACTTTTATATTGAAGTCAAAAAGTATTTATAACTTAATTTGTAAAATTTTCTCATTTTCTCTACAAAATTCAACAAGGCAATGTATTATCAGGACAATTAGTTAACTATTTCCGTATATCTATATATATAAAAGGCTTGGTATTGAACTGAAAATCTAAGAATCACGCTGAATTTTCACGACTCTTCAAAAAAATTTGAAACTGAGGCCAAAAGTGGGCTCAAAGTTTGTATAGAAGAAATTGAGTCGAGATCGCTTTGCAATCAAAGCGATCTGTTTTAAATTTTGCATGATCATTTTTTAATAAAATTTATTATAATAATTAAGATCTGATTCATATTTATGAAAATTCAATGTCTAACAGGGTCAAAAAACGGTAGACAGATTTTTTTTTAAATTGTAAATCCTCCTTAGAATCCTCTTTGGTGTCAAATAACATTAAATTATTGATGTTCTATTTTGAAAGTTCAAACGTGAATATGACAGCGACAGCCATAATTATTAACTTTTTTACAATGAGGCGGCAAAGTGGTCATTTCATCCAATACTATCCTTAATCAAAATCAAAGTTTTTGACTGTTCAATACAATAAAATATAAAAAAATAATCACAGTTTCATTACATTGTTTGATTTTATGAACAACTTAATATTTTAGTATTTTTTCCAGCAAATTTTTAAAATATGTTCATTATGTTTGACGCTTGACGTTAAATAAGCGTGACGTCACAACGTGTGTTGTCTCGTACAAAATTCATAAAAAACTGTCGTTTTTGACAGTTCGTTAAAGGTATTGAATTTGACTCAGTTGGCAAGTAGCCAAATATTCGAAAAATTTAACAATACGGATGTTTGACACCAGGACTTAAGATAATTTTTACCTGACAAAAGACGTAGGATAGTTTTAATTCCGTAAATCCCACGGAAACGGGAACTGTACGTCAAAAAATTTCTATCTTCATAATCACTAAACCTATTTAAATCAAGCAATGATAGTTGGAAGCCCGAGAAAGGACTTAAACAGGTTTTAGTAATAAAAAAACATGGGACCGGGAACGACGCCTTAAAATTCCGAGGCTTTAAAACCACGAAAGGTCGATTTTTCCAACGCCAGATATATTTCAGCCCTGAATCTATTTACCTGAAATTCTGCACAATGATAGTTTGAGACTCGGCAAAGGAAAAAATCTCAACGGAAATTTAGGTCAAATGTATTACAGCTTTAGTTATTTTAATGCAAATCTTACGGAAACGGGAACTACGTAGGCAAAACTTTGAACTAAATACATATTATATTTTGAGCCACGGAATGTTTAAAATCTCACAGTAAAGGAAAAGTACAAGTTCAAATACAAGTGACACCCAGACCCGAAACAACAATTTGTGGATCGCACGACGTGTTTCTCCGTGTGGCTATCGAGCCCGCTGCACGTTGTGCGGCAGCCAGTTACCCAGCCACCGTGCCAACCATGCAAGTTGTAATTCATGAATAAACAACATAACCGTCTCAATGTAAATAAATCAAATAAATTGTATAGCTGGTAAGATTTAATTTAAAACTTGGTTGTACTGAAGCTACTTCTTACAAGTTAATATTTATTGTAGACCATCCCGAGGCGTGTGTAATGCCACAAGTATGGTAATTCAGTCCTTCATGGTGCTGGAATTAGTTTCATTATAATCTCAATAAATTATTGTAAAGTAACATAAGAAATGGTCTTTTTTATAATAATTATCGTAGGCATACTAAACTAACTAGAAATCGCAGGTTACTCTCGTAGGCTGTGCGACGTCGCCGCGACCGCGCTCGCAGTTCATGAGGAAGAGCCCCTCTGTGGCTCGAAACTAGTAGAGCTTTGTGTCAGTATTTTCGCATAAGTAACCCACAATTTTCAGTTAAATGGTCTTATTAAATTGCCTTTACCATTGTAATTAAATTACATTTATCATTGAGCAATTTCGTATACCTAATGCTCACGAGTACGTTTACAGAGCAGAAGGCGTCATTCTTTTGGGGTATAAGAATACTTCAAATGTTAGATTTGCATAAAATTATATTTCTATGACTTAGGAATTCAGCCTGATTTATAGCTCGAGGTTAGCCCACTTTTATGTAAGACTTATAAGTAGCGAAAAGTGGTTGCAACGTTTAATTTGTGGATCTCCTTATCCTACTTATCTAACAGAATAAAAGACATGCTGTATTAGTACGAAAGTTTTGTACAGAATAAAAAATAAAACTAAGTGTTAGTAATAGAAAGCTGAACTTTACACCCACTTAAACAAGCTCTGTCGAGACTAACCATTATAATACTTTATAGTATCACTCATTTATGGCGTAGAAAATTGATTTCGTTTACAGCCAGCACATCAAAGTACCCGAAAAGATCAATTATTTTAACAATAATAGACCTTGTTACAATAGCAATGAGTTCAAAATCAATTAAAGACATTTTGTGCCTTCATAAATGCCATAAAATTTCATCATAAAATTGGAACTTATCATTATATAACTCAGGTCGTTAATAAATGGTCATTTATTGGACACTGCGTTGTAGAAATTCCAATCGGAGTTCACAATATGTCACCGGGTTAAATAACAAACCTTTGCAATTCATGATCAGATGACTCACGATCGGAAATATGCATTAATATACATAATTTATATACATGTATGTCGGTTGTTTATAGATTGTAGAAATGCTTTGCTTCCGTGGGAACTGACATCCGAAATATTTCTATTAACCTTAACTCGTCGAGTACCGGTTTTGTAGACACAATTATAGAACAATAGGTTGCGGTCACCGGTGACCGCTTGGTGTTTGACAGTTTAATAGTAAAATGTTTAGTAAAGACTTAGGTACTCAAAAACCAATTTTAAACTGTCAAACACCAAGCGGTCACCGGTGACCGCAACCTATTGTTCTATAATTGTGTCTACAAAACCGGTACTCGACGAGTTAAACAGTAATACAGTATAGTGAACAATATCATATTTTAACAAGAAACATCTATGAAAAACCATCCCATAATTATTATAAGTAGCCACTATAATGTTCTAAGTAAAATAATTTGGTATAATAAATACCCAATTCTTATCTATAAATTGAGTTCGCATGTCAGGCCGTGGGGTTCCGTAGCAATTAATTCTCGCAGCACGTGGTATCACTATGCAGAGAATATACGAAGATCCATTCTGGGTTAACAGATTTGTTTATCACTTTTCAAAGTGCCACACCACAGCCTCACAGAAAACCGACGTGAAACACAGTTTACTTTATCTTTCACCGTATGATTGAAAACTCCATGGATTTGGGCGGCGTTGCCCATTGCTTACCGTCTGGTAATCCGTCTATTCGTGTACCTCCCAAACCAATTACAACTGTCGCGGAGAACCTAACGGGTTACCGGGGCTCCGGCTCGACGTGCAGGAGAAGGAACGGGGTGGTTTTTAGTCGGTAAGAGTCTGACACTCCCTCCCGCCTCACCCAGGCGGGAGCAGTCATTCGAAGATTTTCCCCGTGATTTTCCCCCCCTTAAAAAAAAAACCTATTACAACTAGTTTACTTTTGCCCATTGATTCATTGTCATTGATTAAAAATGGAATGGCTACTGAGCCTTTGTCAACACATCTTCATTGCTAAACCAAATCTAGTAGGAAAAGCATCAGAAAAAAAACAAATTTTTTATCGACTGAACATTAAGAACAGTTTATATGTATAAATAAACCACTACAGAGTATAAAACAAAGCGCTATCCGGCGTCTCTCTATCCCTATGTATGCTTAGATCTTTAAAACTACGCAACGGATTTTGATGTGGTTTCTTTTAATAGATAGATTCATATGGAAGGTTTATATGTATAATACATGCATATTGCAACCGGTGTAAGCCGGGGCGGGTAGGCGCTAGTTATAACTACCAATACTACCAGTAATAAACCAATAAATTCTAACTCCTATTCTCTTAACCTTCTGCACTACACACGCGACATGTCTTATTGTGCGGCCAGTAATTCAATAACTGTGTATTCGTGTTATCTGACAGTTATGGCCGACCGAACCTCATATATGATGCAGGCCTGACAAATGGAGGACTATGCCTGTGGTTCCCGACTGGACCGCTTCCGACGATTGTGGAACTCTCTTTTGTTTCAAATTCCCTTTGCGTAATGAATTGGGAATTTAAGTATTGTTTTGCAAATGTCGTAGCCAATTGAATAATGTAAGAGGATATAGTCGAATTTTTTTTTCGTGTCTGTATATATTATACTTATAGGTAACTTTTTCTGAATGTTTTTTTTAGAAGATACGACACGATCGTAGTTTGGTATAGAGTCGAGAAATTAAGTACCTTTTGGTAAATTTTTAATTGAATTGCTAAAATCCGTACTATAATATCTTAGTTAAAAGTATTTATAATCTTCCACTGTGAAAATGCCACAGTCGTAATTTATTACGATAAAATTTGCAAAAAAGAAATACTTACTATGATTCAGTACAATGATTTATCGCCCACGAAACCCCTTAAATACAAAATTTCAAGAAAATCGATGGAGCCGTTTCCGATGTCGTTGATACATACAAGAGTAGGTCGTTTAATGGTATTACAATATATATTTATGTAGATACCCACTACCTATTGCTGACCATATGTGTTATTAGTTTATTACAGAGAACAATTACATATAATATTATATAGCAGCTATTTTTTTGTAATTTGAAGCAATATATGACAGTACCGGTTGCCACGCAACGTGTCGCGGGTTCGATTCCCGCACGGAGCAACTCTTTGTGTGATCCACAGATTGTTGTTCCGGGTCTGGGTGTCATATGTATGTAAACTTGTATGTTTGTAAACGCACCCACGACACAGGAGAAAATCCTAGTGTGGGGCAACGTTTTAAAAAGAAATATTAGTAGTTCCTAATTATGAGCCTATTCG